CGTCTTTTATATAACCCTATATGCCCCTATATCTCCCTGTGCGTATAATTTTCCCTATATACCCCCCATATACATCCTTATATGTCCCTATATATCCCTATGCGACATACCCCCCTATGTCCCCTAGTGGTGCCCTTCTGCCTGCAGGTACTCACACAGCGAGAATCTTTCCGTGCACAGGCGTGGGGAGATCGGGTGTGACCCACCCCCCCACCCCATATAGTTACGACATAAATGTCCTCGAAACCTCTCTTCACCCAAAACCAACCTGGGCTGTTGTTGAATTATGCTCTAGACTCTTACATTGTGTACCTGAATCCAATAGAAGGTTGACGACCATTAGTTTGTATAGTATTACCTCAACAATACTAGAATTTGCTTGGGGTGTGGGATTGTAGGGTGAGAGAGCTCAGCTTGTAGCAAGGGTTTTAGGCTGTAAAGTAAACCCTAAACCCTAAGGGGTGTAGGTTTGCAGGTTGCAGAGATTGTGGTTCAGAGCTTCGGATGTTGAGCTCTTCACTGCGAGCTTAGGGCTTAGGATTTGGTTTGAGGGCTCAGGCTTGACTATTTTGGATTTAGGGATTCGGGTTGGGCTATTGGTTAGGATTTAGGACTTCGGGTTGGGCTATTGACTAGGATTTGGGTTGGGGGTTCACGGTTGGGGGCTGGGCCTCAGGCATTAGGTTTGGGGGCTTCGGGTTGGGATATATTTTGAAAGCATCGCGGGTGAGATAAGGCGTTCAAGACCGCGCTGACCGGAAGTCTTTCACGCTGGCAGTTCTGAAGCTGAATGCTATGGAGTACGTATCCCTCAGCCAGAGAATTATGTCTGGCACGGCTGCACGATACTGTTTCTTGTACGCGTCGCAGCTGATGCGAGCACAGCTGGAGATGGATCCGAACAATGCTTTCTTGCAGTAGCTGGCTGCAACATCTTTTTTTCATGGATCCTCTTCTTAGACACACTCATAATTTACTGTTAATGACGCGGTTTAGAGAAACTGTAGCATCGCGGTTTAGGGAAAGTTTAGGGTTTAGGGCTTATAATTTATAATGGTTGCCCGGGTCAAACTTTCATTTTTGCTTATGCACCAACTCCACAGCCTACTCTTCATGGGTTCCCTCACTACCCCCCTCTATACTAGCCCCCAAGAGGGGGTAGTATGGAAGGAGGGTAGTAGGGGAACCCATGAGATCTGTAAATACCAGACCTACATGCTAAACCAAAAGCCCCAAGCCAATCTCTGACACGAACAGCCCCATTCCCTCACACCCAAAGTCTCCGAAGCCACCGCCCCAAAAAACAAAAGTCGTAACCTTAAAGCCTTGCGGTTTGGAGGGTTGAGTGCATCACCCTTCCCAAGTCCCAACCTGAACTCCAAAAGTATGTGGAATAACCGCTTCTTCAGCTCTTTTTGGTGTCTGGGGCCTTTGCTTACTTATATGTGGTCTCTAAGTAATGCCAGAAACTTTAAAACCTGTGACCCCTACACCCTAAAACCTAAACCTCTCACCCCCTAAACGGGTTTAGGGTTTTATAGGGTTTAGGGTTCTACCACAAGCCCAGAGCCTCAAAGCCAAGGTAGAAAGACCTTCAAGTTATTACCAGGCTCTACTTGTATACTATGTCCTCCTATATTTTGGAAGGCTCAGGGGGTTTAGGGTTTCGGGTGTCTAAGGTTGAAATTACTTGCCCCTAGTACAGGCCCTTGACCCTGGAAATCTTGTATACCTATTATTGTATACCCTATATGTACCTCTAAGGGTCCCTAGAATCCCCCTGAAAGGCCTACGGGCCGCTATTGGGCGCCATACTTGAAACCTTAGAGCAAGCTATAGCCCGGCTAGAACTACATCCTCCTATAGTTTTATTATTATTATCATTATTATTCTTATTATTATTTTTTATTACTGTTGTTATTATCCCTAAGCCTGATTAAGCCCTAATCTCTAACCTAAACATATCTACCTTAGCTAGACTTGAGACAAGACCAAGTCTCCGAAGGTCAAGACCAAAGTCATGGAGCAGGCAGGTTTAGGGTTTGGGATTTGGGG